CGAAATAGAGAGAACTGAAACATGTTTTGCCAATATCGTATTATTTGACTATATTTTTTCTAAATTTTAAGTTTGATATATATATATATATATATATGATACAACAGTTTGAACATGTGGAGATATCCCATGTTAGAGAAATTAATATGACTGCGGACAAGCTTGCAAAAATGGGACGTGCTTTATTTATTCCTTTTGTTTTTGAGGATTGTCCATTCTTTTTTTTTTTTTTATCAGCAAAGATAAATTTATTTTATGGAGCACAAGGGTACTCCTGCTCATTACAAATATAAATTCACCAGGGATGTTACATAGACCACATCAACTGGAGCTTCAAAACACATTCGGCATGATAAATTCAAATAAATCATTTTAACCAAAAAAGTAGACAACCAAAACTACTTTATGACAATGACGACATTCCAGACTGCTGCAAAAACAATGATGGATCTCGCCCCCCTCAAATCTTACTCTGTCGCCATTCCTTTCTGCTGTTTGTGGAACAGCTTCAGCTCCCGTTTGTATCTTCTCATTGATAGAGCACACTCAACTGGATTTACTTTCCACTCATGAAAAGAAAAAACACAGCCTTGTATCTTGTTTTTGATCCAAAAGAATGACTTGGCTTGAACCATATGTACTATTCTTCCCCTAATGTTATCTCCATTATTAAACACCTACCATTTCTCCAATACCATATATACCATGAGACAACAAGAAAGATGCAAGCCCCCATCTCCTTCCCTATTATCCTACCCACATCTTGTACAAAAATATCTGCCACGCCTAATACATTATTAGGCATAACAGTCTCCATGCCCCACCACTGCAGTACCTCTACCCAAATAATCCAGGCTTCCTTACACATACAAAATAAATGATTAGCTTCTTCAACCATGCCACAACATAAGCCACACATTAACTCCTCCTCCTGCAGGAAAACCCCTCTTTTCATAATATTCCACTTAGTGCAGTCCCTGTTGTTTATTCTTAGTTACTTATTTTCGTATGGCCGATGCCTATGGATTCTCTTCGCTAAACCCCCTTAGTGCAGTCCCTGTTGTTTGCAATAATATTCTTCAATTTATCAAACATACATATATATATATTGGTGTAATTCATGTCCCTTGTGGAATCCAGCAAAACCAGGACCGCGTTTGAGGTAACCGAGTTGTTGACGTTATCCATTAAATAAGTGGTGATTTGCAATTTGAAGAGTTTGAGAGATTCAAAGCTTCTATTCCAAGTTGGGGGCTAATTTTTCACCATTCTACCAGCACGAGGACTGACTTGTCCTATGCACAATATTAGTTTTGACTTAATTAATTCTGTGGAGCAGAGTCACAACAAAAGCTTGACCCTGTACGCACACACTAAGCGAGATTACCAATGGTAGAGCAAGATCGCAAACACATTGTCTCCTGATTGTGAAAATCATTAAGGTTCTGGATCTGGCATTAATTAGTATTTTCAAAGCACACAAATTGAACAAGGTCGTGGAAAATGATAGGAAATTTTACTGTTTAAAATCTATCCTGCAAACACGACAACAAATAATAATAATAATAATTTATCGCGCAAATCAGGAGTTGATGTAAGGATGGGCTTCCTCCACTGGTGGAATATAGAGAATTGAAACAGGATTTTGCCAATATTGTATTATTATAATTATATAATTATAATATTATGTAAGATTATAAAATTATAATATAATTTTATATAGTAT